AGCTTTTTGAGGAATCTCCATACTGCTTTCCATAGAGGTTGTATTAATTTGCATTCCTACCAGCAGGGTATATAGGTTCCTGTTTTGCCACATCATTGCCAACATTTGTTCTTGTTATTACCCTTAATTATGGTCATTCTAACTGGGGTGAGATGAAATCTAAGCATTGTTTTGATTTGCATCTCTTTTTATAACCAGGGAAGTTGAACTCTCTTCATGTATTTACTGGCCATTTGTATATCTTCCTTTGAGAATTCCCTATTTTATTCATGTGCCCATTTCTTTACTGGGGAGCTGATTCTTTGGGGGCTGAGTTTTTTGAGTTTCCTATAGATTCTGGATATTAATCCCTAATCGGATGAGTAGCTGGCAAAGATTTTCTTCCATTCTGTAGGCTGTCTTTTGAGTCTGGTAACTGTTTCAGAAGCTCTTTAGTTGATGGAGTCCCATTTGTTCATTGTTTGAGTTCTGTTTAAGGAGGTCATTCCCTATACCTATCTGTTACAGTGTATTTCCTACTGCTTCCTACTGTTTCAACATTTCAGAACTTTATTAAGGTCTTTGATCCACTTTGAATTGATTTTGGTACAGGGTAAGAGGAAGGAACCTAATTTCAGTCTTCTACATGTGGATATCCAGTTTTCCCAGCAGTATTTTTTGAAGAGGCTGTCTTTTTTCCATCATGTGTTTTAGGGTCCTTTGTCAAAGATCAATTGGCTGTAGATGCATGGGTTTATGTCTGGATTTTCTATTCTGATCCATTGATCTTCCTGTATGTTTTTGTGCCAATACAATGCTGTTTTAATTGTTATGGCTCTGTAGTATAGTTTGAAGTCAGGTATTGTGATACTTCCAGCATTGGACTTTTTGCTCAGATTTGCTTTGGCTATTCAAGGTCTTTTGTGTTTCATATGTATTTCATGATTATTTTTTCTATTTCTGTGAAGAATGTCATTGGAACTTTGATAGGGATTGTGTGAACACATAGATTGTTTTTGGTAGTATGGCCATTCTCATAATGTTGATTCTACCAATCCATGAGCATAGAAGTTCTTTCCATCTTCTGATATCTTCTTTGATCTCTCTCTTCAGTAGTTTATAGTTTTCATTAAGAAGGTCTTTTGTTTCTTTTACTAAATTTATTCCAACATACTTTATTATTTTTGAGGCTATTGTAAATGGTATTGTTTCCCTGATTTCTTTCTCAGTCTGTGTGTTGTTGGTATATAGAAAAGCTACAGATTTCTGTATGTTAATTTTGTATCCTGCTACTTTGCTGAAAGGACTTATGATTTCTAGTAGTTTTTTGGCAGAATTTTTGGTGTCTCTTAGGAATAAGATCATGTCATCTGCAAATAGGGATAGTTTGACTTCTTCCTTCCCTATTTGAATCCCTTTTATTTCTTATTCTTGTCTTATTGCTCTGGCTAGGAATTCCAAATCTATATTGAATAGGAGTGGAGAAAGCAGATAGCATTTTCTCATTCCTGACTTTAAGGGGAATGGTAAAGTTGCTTTCTACTTAGTATGATGTTCACTCTGGGTTTGTCATATATAGCCTTTATTATGTTGAGGAACATTCCTCTATTCTTAGTTTCTTCAGAGCTTTCATGAAAGGGTGTTGGATTTTGTTAAAGGATTTTTCTGTGTCTATTGAGTGGATCATGTGGCTTTTGTCTTTGCTTCTGTTTATGTACTATATTATGTTTATGGATTTATGTATGATGAACCATCCTTGAATCCCTGGAATGAAATCAACTTGGTCATGGTGTATGATTTTTTGATGCATTGTTGAATTGTGTTTGCCAGTATTTTATTGAGAATCTTTGCATCTATATTCATCAAAGATACTGGTCTACAATTCTCTTTTCTGGTTACAGCTCTATTGGTTTTTGAAATCAGTGTAATTCTGGCTTCATAGAATGAGTTTGGTAGTGTTCCTTACTTTGCTATTCCTGAAAAACTTTGAGGAGTATTGGTGTTAGTTCTTCTTTAAAGGTTTGGTAAAATTCGGCTGTGAATCCATCAGGTCCTGGGCTCTTCTTTGTAGGGAGACTCTTTATTACTGCTTCAATTTCAATGCACGTAACAAGACTTTTAGGTGGTTAATATCTTCTTGGCTCAATTTTGGTTGGATACATGTGTCTAGGAATTTATCCATTTCATCTAGATTCTCCAGTTTATTTGACTGTAAGTTTTCAAATGATTCTGTGGGTTGTTAGTACTTGTGGTTTTGTCCCCTTTTTCATTTCTGATTTTATTAATTTGGGTCTTCTCCTTCCTCCATTTTGTCATGTTGGCTAAGGGTTTGTTGATCTTGTTAATCTTTTTGAAGAACCAACTTGTTGTTTCATTGATTCTTTGTATAGTTTTTTTGGTTTTGATCTCTGACCTAAGCCCTGATCTTTGTTATTTCTTTCCATCTGCTGGTTTTGGATTTGGTTTGTTCTTGTTTTTCTAGGAGCTTAAGGTGCACCAATAGATTGGTTATTTGAGAAGTTTCTGTTTTTTTAATATAGGTATAAACTTTCCCATTAGCATGGCCTTTGCTGTGTCCCACAGGTTCTGGTAGGTTGTAGTTTCATTTTAATTGGATTCTAGAAACATTTTATTTCTTCTCTTATTACTTCAGTCACCCATTGGTTTTTTGACAATGTGTTGTTCAGTCTCTATGTGTTTGAATATTTTCTGGGAGTTATTTTGTTCTTGAGGTTTAGTTTTATTCAGTTGTGATCTGATATGATGCAGGGGGTTATTTCAATTTTCTTGAATTTGTTGAGACTTGCTTTGCATCCTAAAATATGATCTTGGTGAAAGTTCCTTGAGCTGTAAAAAAGAATGTGTATTGTCTAGTTGTTGAATGTAAAACTCTGTAAATATCAACCATGTCTATTTGGTCTAATGTGTGGAGTAGCTCTGAAGTTTCTTTTTAAATCTTTTGTCTGAATGACCTATCTATTGGTGACAGAGGGGTATTCAGTTTTCCCACTATCACTGTGTTAGTGTCTAGTTGTGCTCTTAGGGCCATTAGAGTATTTTTTTTTAATGTAGATTGGTGCCTCTGTGTTTGGTGCATATATGTTAAGGATTGATATTTCCTCTTGATGAATTGTTCCTTTCATTAATATGAAATGACCTTCATTGCCTCATCTGATTAATTTTAGTCTGAAGTCTACTTTGTCAGATATGAGTATGGCTACTTCTGCCTATTTATGGGGCCCATTTTCTTGGAAAACTTTTCTCCACCCTTTGACTCTAAGCCAATGTTTATTTTTTTCAGTGAGGTGAGTATCTTATAAGCAACATATGGTTGGGTCTTGTTTTTTAACCCAGTTTGCTATTTTGTCTTTCAGCTGGGGCATTGAGGTCATTTACATTCAGTGTTGAAATTGAGAGATGCCTGTTGTTTCAAGTCATTTTTATTCCCCTGATGTTTAGTTTTACCTATTCCTTGTTTACTGGTCTGCTTGCTCAAAAGGGTTTATTCTTTCTTGGGTCTTCCTGTCTTACTCTAGTTTTTTCTTCTATATGTAAAAGTCTTTTAAGCATCATCTGTAGCGCTGGCTTAGTAGTCTCAAATTCCTTTAGTTTTTCCTTGTTGTAAAAGGTTTTAATTTCTCCTTCAATTAGGAAGGATAGTTTTGCTGGGTAGACTAGTCTGGGTTGACAGTTAGTTGTTTTCTTTCAGGGTCTGAATTATGTCTTTCCATGACCTTCTTGCATTTAGAGTTTGAGTTGAGAACGTTGCTGTTATTCTAATGGACTTGCTGTTATATGTGACTTGTCTTTTATCTTTTGCCGCTTTCAGAATTCTTGCTTTGTTCTATGTGCTGAGTGTTTTGATTATGATGTGTCTGGGGGGTGTTTCTTTTTGGTCCTGACAGTTTGGTGTTCTGTAAGCTTCCTGTGCCTGGGTGGCTTTCTCTTTCTTGAAGTTAGGGAAGTTTTCAACTTCCTAGTTTCTTTGATGGAGGTGCAGGTGCTCTCCTGAGGTCACAGTGGGGCACTCTGGGTCTCTGTGTACTGTTGGGGGCAGGCCTTCTAGCACTAGCAGTGTAGCAGGTTGTTACTCAGTGGAGGAGCTGGGATTCCAGCTCTTGGACAGGAGAGATGTGTCTCTATTGCAGGGAGGTGCAGTGTGAAATGGTGGGCTTCTGTGTACCTTGGGGAAATAGGGATTCTGGTGCCACCTGTGTTGTAGCAGGTTGTAGCTTTCTTTGCTCTTTCTTGCTCTTTGAAAGAGGAGTGAGGGCTCTCTTGCTGTCAGGGACAGTGGGGAGGCTGGGCCTCTGTGCTCTGGCACCAGCAGAATACCCCAACCTGGGGTTCACTCAGGTGTGTTATTGAGGGCTCCTGGCACTAAGTAGCAAATTGAGGGTACCCATGGGGCAGCAAAGACAGTGGGCTTGAATGTTTGGTGCCCATAAGGCAGCAGATTTCCTGAGATCTACTTGCAATGGGATGTGGGCTTCTAGGAGCCATGACAGCTGTTGCAGGCATGGGGGCCCAAGTCTACAGGTGGCAAGAGCCCTGAGCTTGCTTGCTGATGCTGGGCTACCAGAAGCTACAGAAACTGCTGCAGGCACAGGGGAACCAAGCCTTCAGGAAGTGGGAGCCCTAGGGTCTACTTGCCAGTGCAGGCAACCAGGAACCATGGAAGCTGCTGCCAACTCAGGGGAACCAAGGCTGTGGGCAGGAAGAGTTCTGAGGCCTGCTTTCCAGGCATGGGCTCTAGGAGAGCAGTGAGTAGTGCTGCAGGAAAAGGGAGGTAGGGTGTTGGGGGAAGGGGGAAACCAAGCCTTCCAGTGGCTGGAGCCCTGGGGCCTACTTGCCCATGCAGGCTACTAGAAGACACAGTAGCTGCTGCCAGCTGGAAGGAACCAAGCCTGCAGACTGCAGGAGTTCTGGGGTCTGATTGTCAGCTGGGCTTCCAGGAGTACAGTCCAGTGGTGCTACTGTTGGATCAGGGGAAACATTTTCTCTTCTTGCATGCTCTGCAGGGCATACATGAGTGTGAAGGAACTAAAGGAGGCCCTGCAGCTCAACAGTACTCATTTCCTCAACGTCTACTTTGCCAGCTCAGTGCGGGAAGACCTTGCAGGTGCTGCTACCTGGCCTTGGGACAAAGAAGCTGTCAGTCACCTGGGTAAGTGAAATGAAGACCAAATATGGACCAAATATGAAAAAACAAGGCAATCTGGAGGGAGTTTGCAAAAGTGAGTTTTGGAGAAAAATGAAATACAAAAAGACAAAAGTACTTGATGAATTATCTGGTTTGGGTTGACAATGGCTTTTAGGAGATTCGATCAAAATGTCTCAGTGTAGACAAATAAGAGGTATTGAGCAAACAGTGACAAATGCTTAGGATGTTCTAGACTGATTCTCTAATCTAGATGCAAATAAATTGCTGGCATGAGATAAGATTCATTTAAGTGTTAGAAAGCCCCTAGGGAAAAATTATCAGGAAGGTGGCTAGATAGTGAAACTTGCTTTACAACAATCACTGTACCAGAAAACTGGTGGGCTTCTTGTTTGTACTTTGTTCTTGGGCAGATCCTGGGTAGGTAGAGCTGTCCTGCTCACGTAGAAGAGCAGACACCTTAACACTGAGTGCAACTGCTGAACACTGATGACAGACAATCCTTTTACAATGTCTTACTATTGTTATACAGTGAATCTTGCTCATCAATCAATAAGGAACATTATCAGTTTAATAAATATATGAATACAGGACAATTATCAAGTGTAATTTGTATACATTTTCAGTCTTAGATAGGACTCTGCAAAAACTTGTTTTAAAAATGAATTATCACAATTGGAAGGAACATTTCTTGTTGGAAAGTGAATGGTTATTGAGACTGGAAATCATTTTATAGTAATTTAAAAGAGATCATGCAAGGTTAGTCTGCTTAGTAATCAAATATGAATCAGAGATGAATAAAATAAAGGAAGACCACAAAGAGTTCTATGTTTCACATGGCAAGTATGATAGAGTCATCAGGAAATGGAGAGTCTAACAGAACATGAAAATCTTTGAAATGAATAAAGTTGGTTATTGATCTGTCTATCTGTTTTTCTTGCTGTGTATTTGTATATGTATCAGAAAGCTGGTGGGGTTCTTATAGGGACAAGGCTTTCCAAGATATTCTGGGGAAAAATATATATGTATATATGTATACAAATATATATATATGTATTTACATATTTGCATATATATGTATATATGTATGTATATATATGTATAATCTTGATGTCACTACATAAATACCTCAGGCAATGAAAAAAACACCTAAAAACTAAATGTATAAGAATCTGAACTAAATGCTTCACTGCCATGTATAGCTGGGTTTTATTGACTCTGTAATATCTGAAACAGTCTTGAGGATATACAGCTTTTATCACTAGGCTTTGTATTTCCAGTTCTCAGTACATGAGGAATTAGAAACTTATGATGTTTTTGGTGACCTGAGGCCACCAAGGCAAGAGCACTGTTTGTGTTGTTGACCTATTTTATGGTACCCTAAACAAAGACCTCATATTTCCAGGGATCCAATATGAACTGAAGTATGTATTTAGTCAAGTTTCCCTATAATTATGGTGAGTGGATAACCAGGGAAAGAAGACTTGCTGGCAGATTGAGACATTTTGTTGAACATGTCATAAAAATGTCTTATAGATAGCATTACACGGCTAATAGATTCAGAAAAAAAAATTACAAAGCATTTTGATAGGGCTGCAAGGGAAAGGCTATAGGTTTCAGTTATGCGTTTCCAAAACAATCAGATAAACTGAAGATATCCCTATATTGTAGATGAAAGCTACTCTGAATCATTCTAATCTTCATGGTAGCAATGGGTGAACTAGAAGATTATGTTCAAATAATCCATTCAATAGTGAATTTGGATGAGTTTAGCCTCACCAAAAGCAATAGGAGCAGAGGGGACATATAACACATAAGAAGGCACCTTTCATATCAACAGGAGTGTTCAAAGAAGATGAATGTATTTGGGATCCTACAGCAAAGTTTACTCAGCAGAGGTTTCCAGGTGCCCTACTTAGGGTACCTATTGTTGGGACTGAATCTAAAACCTTAAAAAGTGGCTTTCCTGGCCATAGTACAGACAAATATTGGTCATTTGATAAAAATTATGGACTGGAGCAGATTATTGCATGTTTTCTAATTTTACTAGAGCTTGGGCATGGGCAAGATTCATTCAACCATTTTTTTAAAAAGTGGAAAAACTACTTAAAAATTAGCTATTTGAAGGTATCAGACAGTGACCAAGGCAACAAAAACTTGAGGGATCCAATCCCAGAGGGAAGAAAAATGCATTGAAGTGAGCCCTACATGCAACTCTATTTTTCCCCTTTAAGGAAACTTCAAATCTCGGTGAAAGAAACTGAGTCAAAGCAGAGAGCAGCAGCCTAGAGCTTGCTTCAGCCTCACTACCAGCAAGAAAGAAATTAGAGTTCAGGCCCAATATTCCTGAGAAATGGAAGCACAAAGTGAGCCTGGTTTTCTGCTTATGATTTTTTTCTCTTATGATATTTCCTAGTTATTAAACTATGCATTCTCAGGACCAATGGCCAAGAAAACAAGTAGAAAATGACTTTTAAGAGATAAAGCAGACAATGATTTCAGGAATCTCCTGATGAGGTAAAGGAAATGGAATTGAGACCCTGCCTCAATGAGCTGTGAGATACCCTATGTGCAAGGGCAAATAGAAGTGGTCAATTTTACACAAAGCCTAAGATCGGGCAAAAAACACTCTTCATCTATGCTTGGAGGACACTTACCAGCCTACTGCTAATTGCCTAATGAAAGAAAATTAAGTATTTTTTAGAAGAAGACAATACCATCAAGAGACTCTACAAGTTTTCCAGCAGTCAACAAAAATTACTTGTTATCACAGGAGACTGGGTCAAATGATGATAAACTAAACAAAGCAAAACTAGCAATTAAACATTAGATTAGATCCAGAGATCACCTGTACATTGGAATTCTTAGGTATTGATTTTAAGATAATTTCGATTAATGTGTAAAAACAGATAAAATTAGAGGAGTTTGTTCAAAGAACTGGAATCAAAACTAATGAATCAAGTTGAAATTTTGGAGCTAGAAATAACTAGCAATTCAAATTAAGAAATTAGGTTCATGCAGAAGAACTAGAGGTCTAGAAAATTTGCAAATTGAAGCTCTGGGGAAAATGATGGAAAATATTGAAACACTTGAGAGCTAAGAAAAATTTCTATTGTGAATTTAAGTTCTAGAAGAAGAGAGAAAAATTGTTACAGAAGCAACATTCATAGAAATAATGGCTAAGCATCTTACAAACTGGCCAAAGATATCAAATCAGAGATTCAAGACATGTTTTACAAACTTTAAACGAGATTAACTGAAAGACAATTGTACCTACACCCATGATAGCAAAAATGTTGAAAACCAAAGACAAAAGACAGAAGAAAAAGTTATGTTGTTTTAAAAAGTACAATAAGACAGACCTGCTGACTTTTCAACAAAACCTCTGTTGAAACCAGGTGCTGGTAGCTCACCCCTGTTATTCTAGCTACACAGGAGGCGAGGATCAAGACGATTGCAGTTTGAAGCCAGCCCTGGGCAAATAGATCATGAGACCCTATCTCAAAAAAACCTGTCACAAAAAAGGGCTGGTGAGTGATGGAAGCAGTAAGAGTGCCTGCCTCGCAAGCAAGAGACCCTGAGTTCAAAGTCCATGCCACCAAAAAACCTCTCTTGAGTCATAAGACAACAGACTGATATGTTTTTTAAAATGCTAAATAAAATAGTTGTTAACTTAGAATCCTATATTTCACAAAAGATATCTCTTAACATGAAAAAAATGTTGGAGGCATTTCAGACAAAAACAGATAATTTATACCAGTGCTGAAAAAAATACTAGAGAAAGTTATGAAGGCAAAAGGAAAATAATCCAGAAAAAAACAAAGGAAGTAACCCAGATGAAAGCATAGAAATACATAAAAAAATTAATGACACCAGAAAGAATAAAAATATAACAATTATTATGTCTTTTGGGGTTTAAAATATATGTACAATTACAAGAGGCAGAGATTAGGAGGATCACAGTTGGAAGCCAGATCAGGCAAGACCCCATTCTAAATCAACAAGCCGGGCATGCAGTGCACATCTGTAATCATAAGTACATGAGAGGCATGGGTAGGAGAACTGCTGTCTGAGGCCAGCCCTGGGCCAAAGTGGGAGACCCTGTCCAAAAAATAACTAAAGCAATATATGCTGGGCATATGACAGAACTGGTAGAGCACCTGCTTAGCAAGAAGGACGCCCTGAGTTCAAACCCCAGTGCTAGCAAAAAAGATAGGTGGGTAGATAGATAGATCTCTCTTTAAATATGTACACACATATATATGTATATATAATTAAAATATGACAAAAAATAGTGCAAAAGACAGAAGGTACATGAAATTAAAGAGTCTAGAACCCTCCTTTGCCTATATCCAGTAGAGTTACTGATTTTAGATAATTTTAGGCAGTAACAAGTAAAAATTGCATGTTGTCTCCTTTAGAGTATCTATTAAAGACAAAGCAAATTTATCTTTAACTACCTAGAAAAGCAGGAAATAAAATAATCCAGAGAAGGCAATAAAAGATGAAAAATAGGAATAAATAACATACAACAGAGACAAATAGTAAGATATTGATTCAAACCTACCACATTAGTAACTACTTTAAATGTAGAAGGACTAAACACACCAATTCAGACTCAAAAATTATCAGACAACCCTGTAAACTATGCAGGTATATGGTATTTGTGAGAATACAGACAGTTGAAAATAAAAGGATGAGAAAATCTGTACAATAAAAATATTAATCCAAAGAAAGGCAGTGTAGCTTTCTAACATCATGTAAAGTAAATTTCAAGGTACTGTGAGATATAACTAGGACTATTTTTATTATAGCAGAGGAAATTCAATTGGGCAAAATAATAATGATGAATTCAGGTATAACCAATAATATACCCTAAAAATATGTAAAGCAACATTTGATAAAAAGAAAAAAGACAAATCCACAATCATAATTGGTGGATTTAAGTAATTTTCTCAGAAAGTGATAGAATAAACTAAGTACTCAGTAGAGATATAGGTATTTGA